TGTGTGTGTGTGTTTTATCCTCACCCGAGGACATTTTTCCATTTTTTGTACAGATAGAGTGGGAGGGAGAGAGAGGAAGAGAGAGAGAGAGAGAAACATCGATGTGAAAGGGACACATCGAGTGGCTGCCACTCGCATGACCAACCAGGGCCGGGGACAAACTGCAACCGAGGTACATGCCCTTAGCGGGAACCGAACCCGGGTCTCTCCGGACCGCAGGCCAACGCTCTAACTGCTGAGCCAAACTGGCCAGGGCGGATTTTCTGTTTTATTCATTCCCTTGACTAGTTTCCTAGAGGAAGTACATGGGGAAGTAATCTCACATGTGTTTAAATTTCTTGGAGCCATTAAAAAAATAAACATTTGAAAATGATTTTATCTATATTTAAGATATAAAAATATAGAAACTCTCAATACACCTGGGAAAATAGTTATCATCATTTACCATCTGGGTCCAATGAGTCTCAAAAAATTTTTAAATATATATTTGTCATTTTATGAGTAATTTACAGAAATATAAGGTGATAGTTTCATTAGAAACTTTAATAAGAATTTAAGCATATTTTATTTTATATTTTTTAGATCTTGAAGTTATATACACTTGAAATGGGCAATGTCGGTGGAATGTAACACCTGTTACGCATTAATTTGGAATGTATTTGTCTTGTAAATAGTGACTCCAGACTTCAAATACATTTCTGTTAGGTTCTAGCTTATCATTTCCTTCTCATTCTTCTTGTACTCTCATCACCAAAATTCAATACTTTTAAAAAATTTTAATGACATGTTTTGTTGAAGAAGGGTAGTGATTATTGGAAAACATTTTACTTTTTGGATTTGTAAGTGCCAATTAGAATGACCAGTCCATTATTTTTTTTCATTTCTACGTCACTTATTGTTTTTTAATCACCTTGATATGCATAGCTATCTTCAGAATGTTTCAACTGAGGAATTAGATCAAGTAAATATCAGTGGATAAACCTCAATAAAGGTGAAAGAATACCGCCATGCCATCCATTTAGCAAAATTAGGTGGTCCAGCTTTTTTTGTAAATATTGCATGATGAAACCCTTCCTGTTGCATAAGTGGATGGGAAAATTATACTTCCTTTTTGTCCTTAGAAATATATGGTTCACTCATCTATTCTTGAGTTTGAGAAAATTCATGTAGAATATGTATCTGAAGAGTCATGGTCTGAGATTTTGCTTACCTGGTCAATTTAGTCAGCATCATTAGGATCTAGAATACGGTCATCTGTCTCTTTGCATTCACCTTGTGATTCCTTTAACAAGTGTGAAAATTCCTCTGTTAATTCTTCTATTGGTTAAAATGAAAAATTCTAACCTCTCAACTGTATTCATTGAAAGCCTAAAACAAAAAACTTTAAAGGTGGTGTCTCTCCAGACTTTTATGTCTTCTTGAAAGATGATGTGATATGCCCTGGCTGGTGTGGCTCAATTGGTTGGAGCGTCCCCCCAAAAGGTTGTGGGTTCAATTCCTGGTCAGAGCACATACCCAGGTTGTGGGTTCGATCCCTGGTCAGGGTGTGTATAGGAGGCAACCGATCGATGTTTCTCTTCTTTCCTCTCTTTCTAAAATTAATAAAAAAGACATATCCTTGAGTGGGTGAGGATTAAAAATAAAAAATGATGATGCAATACTTTGGGCAATGCTATATGAAAACTGAAGGATTATGTAATAGTGATAGTTTATTTTATTATTTTCTTTTTCTAAGTGATACTATCATTGTTCCATTTGGGAATAATTGATTAATGATGATTAAATAATCCCTGGAATGATAAAATAGCAAAATATTTCAAAAGATGTAGGAAAAATTAAATCATTGAGATCCTATAATGTATCTTAAGAGTTATAAAAGGGTCCAATGGACCTAGACAGGAATTGAAGTATAAGTTTTATTCTCTTTTTAAAACATAAATTGTCTTTATCTCTTGGAGAATATTAGGAATAAGTAAAAGTCATTAAATATCAATCCTTATAGTTAGAACTGCTCAAAAAACTAAAATTTTGTCCAATGGACCAAGATGGTATCTCAATGGTTAAAAAAATCATAAAATGTTTTCGGTTAAAGTCATGGGGAAAAAATGCTATTTATTAGAAAACTAAAAACTTAATAAAGGTCAACTGTGCATCAGTCTAGATCACAGGGTCAGAATTCCAAGTGCGTGCTTTGTTGGAATTGCTCCTCATTCCACAAGGGGCTGGGCACGTGTTCCTGGAGATCCTAACACTCAGACTACAGATATTTGGTCCAGGGGTGGACAGTTAACCCAAGTTGAGAATACAGATTTCTCTTTTTCCAGATTTTGAATCATAAGAAACAAATACAGGACCCTGGAGCCAGAGCTAGGTCAGAGCCAGCAGCACCACAGAACCCAAAGACTCCAGCAAAACTAAGTGGCAAAGGAGCAGGAAAGAAGCCAAGGTAGAAATGGAGTGAAGATGTGTACAATCGGGACAAGATGGTCCAGTGATGGGCAAGTGACAAAACCTGACTGAAATGCCTACAATTTAAATGATCTACATTCTTGAATGAAACCTCTTTACTTAAGTTAGAATTGGGGTTCTATTTCTTGCAAATGAGAAATCCCTCAAACAGAATTGAGTGCTAGGAATGGGGCTGCAGGTAACAGCCTCTGAGTGACAATGTAAAACTAGCTGTGGAGTCCAGGCAGAGGGATGGAGAAAGACAGGGTGACAGAACCCATTAAAATTCTGAGATAATTATCACCAGAATAACCTTGTTTCCTGTTCCGTGGAAAACTGGTAGTATGGAGGTAAGAGATGGCAAAATAGCTAATTAAACAATTATCTAACATCTCTTAGGACACAAGCCACAAGTCCCTAAAGGCACAGCTTCAGATTTAAAAACTGTCCTGTGGTGAAATGTAGGAATGTATTTGACATAATTAGGATTCAGTGGCAAAAAGGGTTTTCTACACCAGGATGACTGGCTAAAAGCACATAGGGAAAAACAGGAAATTACATATTTATGTTACATCAAGGGAAATCCTTTCTGCTGAGATTGTTGACGATCAAGTCGGGATATTATTTGTGAATTTGGAAAAGCTCGGGGCTCAGGAGCCTAGCAATGGAAAAGAAAGTGTCTAGCAGTGGGTAGAAGTTTGGGAAGCCCAACTCTTTCCAACAGGATTACCAGGTTGATACCCATCACCACCACCCCCACCCCGGTTCCTAGTAAAACACTTCCCTAGATTAGAATGTAACTTGTGGAGGGGAGGGATTTTTAGGGACAGACCACATGGAACTGCTTCCTGTCCTGCAAACCTCTTTTCAGTCACTTTTCCTTCCTTATTTTTGAGGACAGGGCCATTAAGAACAATGGATCTAAGAAGAGCTGAATAACAAAAATCCCGAAAGAGTGGTCATTAGGCAGTCTGGAGATTAAGGGAGCAAGTTTACCCCCACAGAAATTCCTGGCATGCCTTTTAGTCAATGATGTACTCAAGAAAGACAGTGATTGAAAGCCCACTAAATTCTGAGGCAGTAATCACCAGACGAACCTCACTCTTGAACAAGCACCTGTACCATCTCACACCAACATGATGTTGAGTCCTGGCTCTTCTGGAGGCTCTGACTCAAGTAGGAAAAGGATGCTGGCACCAGACAATATTCACTGAAGTGTAGAAAGGAGGACTCTCTAATGTCCCTTAGAAGAGGCCCGAAGGACAATGGAAAAAAGGAAATCCTTCTAATGGCCAGATCCTAGGACTATCAGACATGACTTAGGAACTTGTCCACTGCCAAGGGATTCAAGAAACAGACTTCATGGCATTTATTTAGGGGCAGACTAGTGACCTGTATATGACCCTGTTTTCTAGGTTTCTTGCCCACCTCTAAGTCAGCCTCTTTCTCTAAGTGATTTGTATGACAGTGTTCCTATGGCATTGGTGATGTGTTGGCAGTAAAATGTGCCAGAAAGCCCAGAGGGGGTCATTCTAGCAGGATGGTGATTAGAAGGACCAGGTGGAGACCAAGGGGCAGGCATTTGTAGCCGTACCCATAATACTGGAGCACGTTAAGCAAAACTATCTTGAAGGATGCATTTCCTCTAGAGGACAAATAGAGTGGTTAAGAGTGTAATCAACCTAGTGCACATCCACTTCTTGGGAATTATTCTAAAACCCTCATTTTTACCAGGTGACTACATTTTTAAGGCTTCCACAATGGTAGTGTTAGGTTGTGTGTACATTGCAGTCTTATAAAGAGGTTCCTGTCCCATCAATTTGTCCATAACTGATTGAGACTCCTAATCACACTGACTGAGATACAGTCTCTGAAGGACTTGAATTAAGACATACAAAGACAAGTAGGCAGCAGAAGTCAGTGGAGCTGAGATTCTACAGAACTGGGTTCAGAGTCTGCACAATGGCAGCTGCAAGGCATGAGCAGGCCAAGGCTATGGAGATAGGACTAACATGTCGCCCTGTGTGGGGAAGCAGGAATGAGGAGGCCTTCAGAGAAACCAGCTCACAGAAAATGAAGCAGATGCACAGATGACTGTGTGTAAGAGAAAAGGAAAGAGGAAGAGGGAGACAGAGGGAGACGAGAAAACAAGGGTAGAGGACAGAAACAGAACTAGACAGAGAAACAGAGCCAGAGGCAGCTAGAGACACAGAGATAAACTACTGACTTTCTAGCCATCACAATGTCCATCTAGACTTCCTGCAACTAAATTCCAGATTTGACTTTTTTAACAACTCTTTTATAAACTTCTTTAGGTAGACTTCTGACTCTTGTAACCAAACAATTCTTGACCTAAACATCTGCTTCTTCGTTGTAGATGCATCTTTTAAATGTTTAATTTGCAACTATTGAAATATATTTACCACCTAACATAACTGGGAAACTGTAAAAAAAAAAAAAAAAAAAAGTGAGGCGTTCAAGGAAGAGGGACTATAATTTGTATTATCTTACAATTTTAAAAAGACAGACTTAGTTTTAAACAATAGCTAACATTTATTGAGTACTTTCCTTGGGCCAGTTTCAAAAGTGTACATGCATGATTTCACCTATTCTTCGTGACAAACATAGGTTCTATTATTATCTTTCCCATTTTACAGATATGGAAATTAAGGCACAGAGAGATTAATAAGTAACCTGCTCAAGGTCACTTATTAAGGGGGAATCTACTGTTTATTTACATTAAAACTGACATTTGAAAAAAAAGTATGCATTCATTTAAAATTCATTTTGGTCAATTTTTTGTTGAATGCCTATTATATACAAAGTACTGATTTAAACTAATAAACAGGTTAACATCAGTGTTACAAATATAAATATCACTTTTAAATATCACTATTCAAAACAAATCTTCTTTCTGTGGGACATACACACACAAAAAAAGATGTAATTTCAAATTGAGTTTCTTAATTTCCAAAATACCTCCTTTAAAACAGAAGGAAATTAATTCTGACAAGGCTATTTTCAATGCATTAACTACTTCAAAATTCACTGGAATATTGGAAGATTACTTGCTGCAAGCTGGATTAATGTGAAAATAAACCCTGACTTCAGAGGGGTGTCTACATTAATAAATATGCATCCATTTAACTAATCGCAGTGTAAGTTACACACATGTATATAAAGTAAAATGACAAGGAAGAAAGGAGTTTTTCATGGGAGGTGGTGAGTTGCCATGGATTCTGCTTCTCTTGATTTTCGAAGCAGGGCTTGTTTGAGAGCACTAATTTTCTCATCAAGTTCAGCCAGTGAATAGTTCTGCTGTAAACAATAAGAACACAAATTGCTGAATAAGACTCTGAAGTATCTTAATGTAGATAAAGTGCTAAATGAGCTATAAATATTTAAAATATCGAAAAGCTTGGTAAATATCTTTTTTCTCATGAGAATAATTTTAAAATTGAACCAAATGTTGACTCTATCATAAATTTTCAGGTATAAAATAACACGGCTTAATATTTCTCGTCCGGCTGGTGTGGCTCAGTGGTTGAGCATCGACCCATGCACCAAGAGGTTGCCGGTTCAATTCCCGATCAGGACACATGCCCAGGTTGTGGGCCTGATCCCCAGTGAGGGGCATGCAGGAGGCGGCCAATCGATGTTCTCTCTCATCAATGTTTCTATCTCTCTCTCCCTCTCACTTCCTCTCTCTCTAAAATCAATAGAGGAAAAAAAAAATTTTTTTTTAATATTTCTTTGCTTTCCTAATGAAAGCTCTACTGGACCTTTTATACTTTGAAAGGATTGTAAAAACTTTTAAAAAAACAAATATTCACAGTCAAGAGTAAAAATAATATTAAAGTTTAGGATTAGCTTAAGTGCTTAAAATACCTGGAAATTGTCTTTTATAGATCAACTACAATCAACTACCTCTGCTGGAAAAAATGTATGCTCTCAAAAATTTACTCAAAATTTTACAATAAAAAAATAATGTGACACTCTTAAAAAAATGAACCAAATTTTTTTAAAAGTTTTCCCCAACTTTAAATTTACATTACCACCACTGAAGGCTAGCAAAACCTTACTAATTATGATTAAACTAATTAATATATCGGTACTGTGGACAGAGGTGGGCTGAAGTCATACTCTGGCAAACATTCTTTGATTTAGATGCTGCTAATTAGTGGCGTCTACAAAAGGGGGAGGAGGTGAGATTTAAATTACAGTACTTAAGCATTTATTATTTTTCAGCATTTTGTAACTGATATATCCTTCTATTATTAACAGCTGAATAAAGACTTTTATAATAGGCCCATCTGAGTCATCCTACGCCCTTGAAACAAAATTATTTGTCTAATTCAAATACATTTAATATATGTTGCCCTTTTCTTAGTTCTAAATTCTAAGGTATGACCTAAAAAGCAACCACAGTAGAAACTTTTATTAATAAGGTATAAAACTAATCACACTATTTCAGAAACTAAAATGAAAATAACAGTAACTTACTTGAGGTGGTTGAACTTTCCTTCTTTTGCCAGAAAAGTTCTAGATTAAAGGTAAAAAAAAAAAATATTAAGTAACCAATGCTTATAAAATCTAAACAACAATTTTCCTTTATACAGTAGTGAATAAAATATGGACAACCCTGGCTGAAACAAAGCCCACAAACTCACCAAGCACTATCTGCAACCAACATCCACTCTCTTGTATTTTGGAAGTTACCCTCCAAAGACATTGAAAGTATATAGTAATAACAACACAGTAACATGCTTGTCCCTGGCTATACACACTTTCCCATTCATTCTCAGCTTCTCATGAGGCTGAGTATGTGTGGAAAGAGGTGCTCTGGGGATTTTCTTAGTTTCCTTTTTTATAATCTTTCCACCTAAAATACTGAACAAAGGAAGGAAAACAGAATCTGGAATACCAGGCCTAGGGGTACACACACACCCCCACTGACTGTAAGGGAACACTGGTGTGTGAGCACCTACCCACGCTCCGGGGTGTGACTAGGAATGAGAATCCCACCACACTGGTCTTGTCCATGATGGGAATGGGCATGGGCCCAATTCTGGCCAATGAATAAAGAGAGGTCTGCTGGGGATTAGGAGCAGAACGGTTGAAAAAACTTCCTCTCTTCTAAGAGAAAACCCTCAAAGGAGGCATTCCCTGGACGCTGCTGCCCTGGACAGGACCCCTGAAAGTGCTGTGGCCTTCTTGCCATCTGCCTGAGGAAAAGGCAACGCTAAGCAGAGCTGATAGGGGAAAGAGCCCAATTGTTTGACAAGTATGATTTAGCCAATAAATGATTTAACCCTGAGAACTTCACTATCATTGAACTTATTCTTTTATAAGATACTTTCCATACTGTTTAAGCCATTCCGAGTAAAGTTTCTCTTATGTGAAGCTGACAACATTCTGAGACATGCCGCTGAGCCTTCTAAACCCTGACCTAATGAATTGTCTAGATAATGCTTTGGTTTCACCGAACCACAAGCTTTCAGAAGGCAAAACAATGCATCAGTATATTTGACAAAGAAACTGTCGATGTAGGAGATAAATTTTCTCATGAACATTCCTGACCACTGAGATTTTGAAGAGGTGATAGTCACATTTTCCTTTGTGTCAAAAGCTGTTTCAAAGGAAGGACATCTGTAATAGTTTCAACAAAGATATATCTTTAAAAAAAAAAATCTATTTCAAAGACTACTGAGATAAATCATTCAAGTGTGAGAATTATTAAATATGGGGGAAACTGCTTATATAAACATGTTCCTTCCTTTGCCAAACTGAGCTGAATACCTCTGGTGGGGCCTACGGGCAGGTAAGGGTTTGATGTTTGATTTGGTCACTGCTTAGTCCCTTTCCCGGCCAAGAGGTGGATTTTTACACATCTGATGAAAATACCACCCCCCCCCCTTGTTTTCCTAACAGTTTCATCTGTAAAGTATTGTTTCCATGTCATTAAGCAATCAGATTATTACTGTATCATCAAACTAAAGTGAAAAGTATCAGAATGAGGAAAATAAGAACATCAGTTTAAAAACAGTAAAATGTGGTCTTTCGGGGCTTATCTTAGACCTGAGCAGAATATTTTGACAAGTAGAACACTTAGAAACACATCTATTGTAGACACACTAAACTAGCTTTAAAATTTTTTATTTTTAGGCACAAAGTGGAAATTTTTAACAAGTTTTAGTACCTGAGAGAAATATTTGATAGCACACCAAATAAATAGCTGAACAGACATTAAAAAAAAAAGTCTCTTCTCTCCTCTCCTATTATTTTACCATAGCAGGTAATTTACAGGTACATTTACAATGCCCATGTCCCGATGATAAAGGTGATTAGTTACACACACATCCAGGGAACCCATGCTCTAAGGAAACTCGGTGGTAAGGAGGTCTCTTCTATGACCAACCCCCTTCCTCACTTGTAATGAGTTAAGGACTATTGATTTTACAGATGCAGTGTCTTAAATGTTTCTTCTCTTCTAGTCCCACTGCCCTGATTCAGACCCTCATTTCTCCCTGGTGTGGACAATGATGTTTCCTAAACGACTTTCTTTGACTCCAACTCATACTTCATAATGCCACCAGATAGAAACCTAAATTACAGGTTTCTTTTTCTCAGTGACACTGGAATTGCAAACTGGTGACTGTGACCTTCAAGAACCTCCAAAATGTGTTTACAATTTAATTTTCCAGCTAGATTGTTCACTTCATGCTTCAGGCCCACTATGCATGGCCTGTGTGCATGAAGTTGACTTGGCCCTCAGCACTCCCCTCTCCCGACACTTCCCTTAGAACCGAGAGTTCCCATTCAGAACGGAATTAAGATTCTGCCTAGACAGTGCTTTGGAACAAAGTTAACACACCTTCAAAAGTTCAATAATTAACTATCAGCCAAGTCCTATCCATTTATTCACACATTTCTTCGATGCATACTACATTCTGTGTGTTAGAAGATGAACAAGACAGTTCCTGTCCTTCAACAATTCAAAATACAGTGAGAAAAATAAATGTGTAAACATTTAATTATAAGTGATAAGTGCTATCAAATGAACAAAGTGCTGTGGAAATATACTTGTGAAACATGTTCTACTTACTGTTTTGAAGGGTCATAATTTAAAATCAGTAGTTCTTTGAAATTACTCAAAAGGACTGTATCTTTTAAGTGGTCTGTTAAGTGATGCCTTTAAAATTTAAAAACATTACCACACTCAGATCTTTCCATGTTGAATGTGAAAGGTGAAGATCACATTAAAAGATACAACAAATCCTAATTTTTATGGTAATTCCTGCTTTATATACATTAATTTTTTTTGGAGTTTTATGTCTGTTTCATACATGAACAGAACTTTACACTCTAGTTGTTTTATAAACCCAATACAATTTATATCTTTTTTTTTCTTTTACCGTTTCCCTTTTCATGTGCTGTGTGTCAGTGTTATCATGATAATAAATCTCTACCCAACAGTAGCAGGCTTCCCTGCGTTTAGATTTTATCACGTGGGTATCTGTATTAAACACATTTCAATGAAAATCTTTTCAGAGTTTAAACCTTCAATTTCTATCAAAAGTTCAATCTTTAAGAAATTTAATGAGCTCAACTTTCCTGTACTTCCTAACGTTAGAAGCCAGAAGACTGTGCTGCCTTTGTAGTCTTCCTGTACACTTTTGAGGGACATGTAAAATTATACAATTGCCATGTGTATACTCCTAGCACGAGAATGGTGAGAGCAACGGATTATGTGCTACATTCTTTGTGTTCAAGGACAAGCCTAGAGCTGGTTCTGTTCTGTGAAGAGTACGGCTCCTAGAGATGGCATCTTCAGTCCAGTGTGGAAGGTTGAGTATGAAATCTTTTTCCCTTTGGGCCTGGGGCCTGTGCCACATGTATTCCTAGGCCTCGAGGAAAGAGTCAATCTGAATGTTTAAACCTTTTCAGTGTTTTGTGCTTCCTTGTAGCTCACTACTAACTTGGATATGTCATTTCCAGTACTAATCCAGAGGTGATCCTTCTGATCAAATATATATTGTTTAACAGATTTGGGGATATTCTTTAAAAGCACTTATTTTAATCACATTGATTACATTTATAATGCTTCCTGCCCTGAAGTTAGGTAGTCACCAAGTTTCAGATCTTAGGCCTCTGACAGTCTCAGTGTTCTTACCTATTCCATGTTTAACTGTCACCTCTACACAGACTCCCAGTTGTCTCAAATGTAAGTCCTACATCTTAAAAGATTACCTGATATACCTTCCTGTAGATCCTACTATGACTTCAAATTCACATTTTCCCCCAAATGATCTCCCTCTCCAGATTTTCTTATTTCTATCAATGATAATATCATTTTCCCAACCAGAAACTGGACTCACTCTTGCTCTATGTCTCTCCACATATTAATTACCAGTATTTGTCAACTTCTCTTTCCTACTGTCTCCTGCATAATCTTTCCTATTCTCATTGTCATGTCCATAATTCAAGATCTCACTTTACATCTAAACTAGTATAGTACTGTCTCCTTATGCTTAGTCTCTCCCTTTTCCTTTACCTCCCAGGGCAACACTAGAAAAATTTTCTACATAGCCCTTGGACAAGTCACTTCCGTGCTCAAATGCTTTCAATAGCATTTAAACTTTAGATACTTTAAACTTCTGGGTGTAGCATTTAAGGTCTCTATAATCCAACTATGTCTATCTCTTTAACCAAGCACCCTAAATATTCTATCCTGTTGCTTAACAGATCCCCCCAAATAAGATTATGATTTGAAGGACTTGTTTTTTCATTAATCAAGTTATGTAACAAGATATGTTAAGCTTTTATAAATCAGAATCAGAGAGAAGAGCTAAATAAGGGGGCAAGGTCTCACTGGAGTTATCTAATACTATGACACTCTCTTGTAAGATCAGTTCTACTGCTAACAAGAATTATATTAACAAGGTATGAAACTGAACTAGAAGAAAATCTACCTAGGGACTACATAATGAAGGCAACTAGAATGGGAAAACTTACGGTAGACTGTTGTAGGAAACGACATAAAATCTTTATGAAGTTTCCTTGAAAGATATTTAAAAAATAATCCTACAAGTGTCAAGACCTTTGTAATTATGCAGCACAACCACAAATATTCTTAAATTGGACAAGTGAAGACTAGAGGAATTGTGTGGCTTGCACACGTTTATCCGGCTACTTCATAGGTAGTTGCTGAAACAAAGTGAGTGCTGGTATTTACTGAGGCTTCACCTTGTGCTAGGTGGGTGACAAGTGCTTGACTAGTGTTCTCAGTCCTTGCTTTAGCCCTTAGTACTTTAATAAACCTCATTGTATGTTTCAGGAAAGTAAATCACTAAAACTGTTTTGCTAAATTTTTTATCTTTAGGATTCACTGCTCACTTTTGCTGTGTAATCTGCCTTCATCTGGAAACACATCTTTTCGGTACCTCACTCTAACACCCAACTTAAGACACTGGAATAATTGATGTTATTCGTAAAACAATTTTAAATATATTTTCACCAGTGACTTACGATCCATGCTAATATGAACTATTTTGCATAATTTTTCAGAAACAGTTTTAGAAACAAATATCACTAAAAATTTAGTAACCTTAAAAATGTTGTTCACTTTTACATTATTTTAGTTCTTTTGAATATGCCACCACTTTTATAAAAAAAAAAAACAAAAACACATAAAACATCCAAATCTCAGAAGAGGCAGGTGTTATGGATAATCACCCTGAAGATGGAGGAAAATACAATGAGCTCAGGATCATTTGTCTGAAACAGGATGATGTGACAAAGAAGATACTTACCAGCACAACATTGTTTTGTATTGTCCTTGGAAAAGAGATAAGAGTGAATGAATAAGTGAATAAATAAATGCTAGGGTTGAGGAATTAGATAATAAAGACTAGTCTTTCAAAAAGTCTGGAGGCTAAGGTAAAGAAAAAGGCAGGTTGGCAGATCAAGGTGTCTGTCTGTTTAGTATGGGGAGAAATGTAAACATGTATGAACGAGGGAAGGAATGGGTGAAGAGAGAGGGATAGGGATAACTGACAGCAAGGTTCCAGAAGAAGCCCTTGTATTACAAGACAGCAAGTTCAGAATGACAAGATGGGCTACTATCCAGGCTGATTTATTACACCATGAAAATGGCATAAATTTGAGACTCTGGGTAATGTACAACAAAAGTACCCCTTTTAAAAAAAATTAAGAGTCTATAGTGTAATATTTGGAATCACAGTTTTTGAAGAACTAGGTAACCCCCTGCATAGAACTACGTTCATTCATCTCTGAATTATTGTTTTACATATAGCAGATTAATGATTAAATTGTTATATAACAAAGAATCCTAAATAAAATAACATTTAGTTATTTTTAAAGGATACTTATACTTACTACAGATTGAAAATACTCAGGAGAGATGCCTTCCAATTCAAGGATTTTATCCTCAAGTTTTTTAATTCTCTGATAAATGTCTCTTGGCACTGGACCACCTAAATACATCAAAAAACATTCTGAGATACTACTGAACAATTCTTCTTACAATTTTTATTCTTAAAAAATACCATTCAAAGATACTTATGCATAGGAATGGGAAATATTTAAACTGAAGAAAATAAATGAACAAAAGTACATTAGAATGAAATCCTTAGCTCACATTTTCATATTATACACTATGGGATATATTATTATAGTACACCTCTCCCCAAGCCCCATTTATGCTTTCTATATCACTAGGAGTTTTATTTTATGTTTAATTCATTTTACAAGATATTGAATAGTTCCTGTATAGACTAGTATGTATTTCTGATAGACTATGATAGTTACTTGGGAGGAGAAAAATGCATAGTTATAATTGACAATTCAATTTAGTGGTTGTAATATCCCATATCATTTTCAATTTATATTTCTCCCTACATGCCATATTTTATCCTTTAACCTAGAACAGCACTAAAGAGGAGCTTTACAGTATTTCTTAACTAACAAACTTTCTAGGGTGGGGGATGGTGAGTTAAGGTTACTCAAATTTCAAGGTTATGATTTTACCCCAAATCCTTTCATTTCTCAGCACCTCCAATGAACCATTCTGGTCCAGACCACCACTCTCCCTAGCTCATAATGATGTCCAAACTGACCTACATGCTTCTGCTTTGCTCCCAGAGAGTCTACTCTCAACACAGTAGTCAGTAATCCCTTTAACATGTAAGTCAGATAGCATTAGTTCTCTGCTCAAAACTGTCCAATACCTTCCCATCTTACTCAGATCAAAAGCCAAAGAAAGCCTTTACTGGTCCTACACAATTTGGACTTTCTCCCCATACTCATATCATTCCAGCCACTTGATTCCTTTTTTCCTGTTGCTCAACTAGTTTTAGCACCCTCTGTTTCAGCATTTGTGGTTCCCTCTACCTCCACATTCACAAAACCTGCTCTCGCTAACTTCAGGTCTTGGCTCAGAAGTTACTTTGCAAGGCCTTCTCTGACCACCCTCTAAAAAATACCAGTGCTACCACCTCTCCCTACCGGGCACTCCCTCTCCTCTTCCACCCAACGTTCTGTATATTTTGTTTATTTATTGCTTCTCTAAGCTTCAAGAAGGCATAGTTTTGTTTTGTTCATTGGTTATGGCTGTGCAGTGCACAAACCTAGGAAGCATCAGTTCACAGACTATACAGGTACTCAATATTTAACGACTGAATGAATCCATTAGACAATCATTGTGTAATTAAAGAATATGGGCAAATTTCACACGAAAGTATAAACTTGTTAAATATAAAAATTCTAGGAATATGTTTTTATCTTAGGATCTCAGCTGTTCTTGCTATTGAATAGGTAAAATGAGTAACTTATTCATTTGACGTTGGTCTTGCACCTCCTTTCCCTAGTCCTTTGTCTCACCCTTATACCTTTCAAGAGCCAGTTCAAGTTTCACTGATTCAATAGTATTGCCGGGATCACTTCACATGGTGAAACCTTTTGGTTCCTTCACAGCCCCTTTAATATTCCACTTCACTGTTTTTTGTTTTTTTTTATCCTCACCCGAGGACATTTTTCCATTTTTTGTTCAGATAGAGTGAGAGAGAGAGAGAAACAATGATGTGAAAGGGACACATTGAGTGGTTGCCACCTACACGACCCAACCAGGGCTGGGGACAATCTGCAACCGAGGTACACGCCCTTAGCGGGAACTGAACCCGGGTCTCTCTGGACTGCAGGCCAACGCTCTAACCGCTGAGCCAAACCGGCCAGGGTCCACTTCACTATTAATTAATCTGTCTTTCTCCCAAACAGATCATAAAGTCCTTGAAGCCAGAGACTATGACTACATAATCTCAGTAGTGCTTGGCAATATAGTAGGCATTCAACAGATATTTTTCAAAAGTAACTTGATACTATTAGACTTAATAAACCAGTCAATCCTTTTATATGGCTGTATTTTAAATTCATCTAGTTCTGGGAGAGGGGGTTAAATTTAATGCTGTTCTCTATTACCCTCAAAGATTTACTCCTTCTCTTATCTTCTACCTCAATCCAGCAAATACTCCAGCTAGACTAGACTCAGAAATTTCCTGAACCATATTTTTCTTAATTAATTAATTTATTTTTGTTACAGATGTTTCTCCTTCCCCCAACACTGACTCCCCCCTCCCCCTCCCTCCCTGCCCTGTCCCAGCTTCGTTGTCCATTGTCCTGAACCGTATTTTATACCTCGGAGTGTTTAGCAGATGCTGTTCTGTTTTGGAATCCTTTGCTTCTGACTGCTGACAAATTCCAAAGGCTCAAATGTCACTTTATACCAGGAATACCATCCCTCGATCTCCCCTCAGAGAACTGAACACTAACTTTGTGTCCCAACTGTACTTTGCACATATCTGAGAAGGTAAAATGAGCATTCATTTCTTCAACAAACATCTGAATACCTGTTTTGTGCCAGGAACTGCACTAGGTACCCAGTAATGAACCTGACAGTTTGCTCTCATAGATCTATCTAGAAGAGACAGTGAGTACCAGGTGCTATGAGACTATATAATAAAGGGTAATCCACACAAGTGCAGGATAAGGAGGGTAAAGCATGGGCAGAAGAAAAAGCCTGGATAAAGTCCTAGCACAGCAAAATGACTGGGAAGCATGGAAAACCCAGAGATGTGGCTGAAACTACAGATGTAGATCATGCTATTTAAAATTACTACCCCCACCTGTCTGAATCTCCCTTCCCTTCTCTTGGTCAGGCTGCTTTTATCCATAGCCCTTCTCTCCTACTGTAGAATATAATTTATATACTAGAATTTTTGTTGACATATATTTTCAGTGCCTAGAACAGTGCCTGGATTATATTAGGAACTTAATATCTATTTATGGAATGAATGAATAAGTACTAAGTTTGGTATGCATATAAGGGCAACAGAAAACCATTAAAGAATTTTTAGCTAAGGAGTAGCAAGATCAGATCTGAGCTTTAGAAAAAGCAATTGGGTCACAGGGGAGAAAATTGGTCAATGACCAGTTAACATCCTTCCATCAGTGTAAGACACAGAACAGAGAGACTTCAACTAGAGTAGCAGGTGTGGAGGTAGAAAGAAGTGGGTAGATTTGAGAGATACTTTGAAAACAGAATGAACAGGATCTGGTGACTAAATGAGGACATTTAGGGTACTGTTAAATATTAAGCGAGTTGACATATGCATATTATTTTCAGAGTGACTGGCACTTGGTATTATTCAATAAATGTCCGTTCACTTTCCCATAAGCATTTATTTATTTATATGCTTATCCTTACTGAGAATCTTTTAGGACTAGGATAACATTTATCAACACTTTGTACCTAGCACAGTGGGTGATAAGAATGAGTGATGGGCACAATTAAGTTATGAAATTGGCAGAAGGAAAAAGACTATATTACTTTTAATCTCTGACTTTAATAAACTGAGAGTGTCAGGATGTATTTGGAACCTATTCCCATTCTACAAACACTCTCAAATTGGCGAGAAGTTTAAGAGGAAAAGGAGCATAAATGCCTGAACTATAAATTCCTTGAGAGCAAGGACTATGTTTGTCGTTCTTTTTTTTTTTCATTTTTGCACCACCAGAACAATGATTTGGTTCTGTTTTTAATATGTTTTTACTGATTTCGGGGGGATCGGGGGAGAGAAACATCGACATCGATCGATACCTCCTGCATGCACCCCAACCAGGGATTGAACTTGCAATCCAGGCATGTGCCCTGACTGGGAACTGAATGGAACAATGCTCAACCAACTCAGCCACACCAGCCAGGGCTAGAACAATGCTTTGTACATGACAGGTGCTCAAGGAAAATTTGGTGACTAAATGATTGGAATTTCTTTAGCCGCTTGCAAAAGTACGTTATGGGGCATTCTGCTTACCTGCCTGCAATCGCAAGTGAGCCTCAATATTTTGTAGCCGTTCTTCTACAGCCTGATTGCCACAGTCTCGAAGCATGCTGCTCGGTTTATGACCTGACCCTTGAATTCCTTCAGGTCGAGTCTGTGGTCCATATGTATTCACAACTCTAGAAACTAAGTTAAGAAACTTTTGAGCCTATTAAAATTACATTTGAAATAATCAGAAATTCTTTCTCCCTAACAGTATCTTATACATATATTTTTTTCATGAAGACCATCTAACCACAAATCTGAGTAGGACGAAAGGGAGGATTTTTTGTTTTGTTTTAAATAAACAAAATTTAAGTAGCAAAGTGATTTCTATTCCATTTTGCTTATAATCTAGAATAAGCCTCTGTCAGTGATAAAGATAAAGGTATCATGTAGTGGATTCTTACCTTTAACATGACTTTTAAATCCGGGGTAAGGGGTAAAAACGGCATCAGTTCTTGCACAACTATTTTCTAAGGAGAATTTAAATGAGTATAAGTATACTTTTAACTTCAAATGTATGAGATTTTGACAAACTTCCAATAATTCATATTAATTAACACATTATTCATAATAGGATATAATTTTAAATACTAGTAATTAACTTACTATCACAAACAGGATAAAATTTAGTGATCTTTTGCCGTGTAAAATTTACAAGATCTAATCTTATCTAATTTTCAGATTTATACATAGAAGTCCTCAACATTCAGTGGCATAATATAGTTTTTAATGAATACCAATATCCCTAAAAACCATTTGCGCCTCTGCAGGAAAAATCTTATATGGTATAGAGAATAATTCTAAGCCAAAGAGACATTATTTATTTCAACATAAAAATAAATAGAACTCATTATTTTTACTAAAATGTCTTTAAAAAGATACATCATTTTTTTTTATCTTACTGATCAAATTAGTGAACATCTAACAAGATTATATATTTAACATATTTTTACTTTAGAACTCCACACAAAAAAGAGCTTAAAACCTCAAGTATAACACATACTTTTCTACTTAACCTAGATCTCTAAGGCTCATTTAAAAATCCTTGTCACAAAAGCCATCTACCTCTTTCCAGACTGCCCCTTTCAAAAAATGTGATTAGGAAAGACACCTTGTGAAAATTTGTCCCCATTTTTTCCTAAGCTGAAAAGAATAGTTTCTTTCAAATTAGATATCAACAAATAAATGAAAAAAAACAAAGGGGATTACTGGAAAGATGTCAACATAATATAAAAATATTTCAAAAACTGTAAAATAACATTTTAAATTACATGATGTAAATCCATCCATGGCAGTACATTCCTTAAAAAATCCCCCTTTATTTTTCCCTATGGACTTTGTTTTTAAAAATTTCCACTGTTTTAATAATTAAATCAAATTGAGAAGTATTAAAAGGAACACACCAACACATTACAATAAGACATTTGTATTTTTTTCATTCTAAGTTCTCTTAATAGTTCTGCTGACAAATCATACTGTGTGAATAAAATGCCAAGTTCACTTACCTTCTACATAGAGATACTAAACATAATTCTCTTTTTTTGTTTTTGTTTTGAAATACTTCAAAATATGTTTAAAGGGCTATCACTTCTCCATTCCCTTTCTACCATTTCATGGGGCTAAGGGTTAAAAAAAGAAGCTATCATCCATTTCAGAGCTATATTCTAAATATATAGATTAAATGACCCATCAGAGAGAAATTCAGCATGGTGTGAAGACAGTGAATGTATGAGTGCTAGTCACTCTCCAAAGCAATTCTTGCTAGCACTGTTTTGAGCCAGCAAGGAATTGAATGGGCCAGGGAATCCTGCTGAGCATTTCAATTCTTGTCAATATCTATCCCCTGGTGGTTTATAATAATAGAGTTTGCAGGGAGAACAGAGGAATAACATTAGTGACACATGTGCTTGCTCCCTCAACAAACCTTTTTTTATGGGTTGCTTGCAGTTGGAGTGTAGTACCTGAGATTTTGTCACCATTGCACCTGTTTTGAGAAACTAACAGGAAAATATACCAAAACTAGAGATATATACATATAATGTTAACAGAAGAAAAGAATGAATTTAGGACCCAACTTGAGGATGTGTTATCTCAGGGTACCAATGTGATATGAGTCCATTCTAGGTTCATATTCTGTCATTCTATAATGACAGTTCTATATTCATAATAATTAGCCATGAGATATTAGAGGAAACAAGAAAATGCTCACTCCAATTAGGAATTCTTCTCCATAATTTTTATGCGACTACTTGTTCTGATTATTACTATGATGCTTAAGTGATCTATGCCAGTACTTTACAATATTTTGTATTCTGCAGCATACCGGCAGATCTGTATCTATACTATAGCACCAACTGGGGAGGAAATGGAGAATCTGATGAAAAACAGCAAATGTATGCACTCTGAGAGAAAGGAAAAAGCATAAGCACCAGTCTTTATGACAAATTGGTTTTATCATGACATAAAACATTTCTAACAGCTCAAGAGTAGTGAGAAAACTGCTCCCTCTTGAGGAGTATTAACTTTACTAAGTTCACTTTATGTAAATTCACATCATAATTTCATAAGGACATTTACAGACATGAAATTTATATAGCTTAGTTCCTTCTTACTAGTGAGAGAGCGCAACCCTGTTACCCATACTTTATCCCCTAAACAAACTTTGAAACATTTCACCTATGGTGGACGTTAGCCTTTTATTATGTTAGCATTTATTCGACATTTGTGTAAATAAAACCATTTGCAATATAGTCTATTAAACAGAAGGAAATTCTGCTGCCTTAGTTTCTAAATAACCCATGAAATAAATTGCATTCTTAATGTTATTTTTAAAAACAAATGAAAGATCAGAGCAACTGTAAAAACTGTTCTTAAAATCCTATAAAAATTATTCTTCTAGGTAGTTACCTTGATTACAATCAATAACATTGCAAAATTCCCTGACGTTGTTTTCATTGATTTCAGCTTGCTTTCTTTCAATAAATGCAGATATTCGTCTGTCAATCTACAAACAATAAGTATGTATGTTTAAACAATTCAAACATAACAATATTTTAAAAATAATACTCCCCACCGAAAAAACAAACCACTTCTTACTTCTGCTTTTCCAGCCTTTATTTGAACTACTTCTGGATCAAAATGGATCTGTGTCTTTTTCACATCTTCTAAATCACAATCTTTGTGCTTTTCTTCCTCCTGTAGGTCACCAGTGGGAAATTTGGCATCTACTTCATTCTTGCTCCCTGTTTCTGCTTTTCCTGTCTCTTCAACAGTTGTATTCTCCTCTTTAATCAGAGGCTGAAGTTTTGCTAAAAAAGGCTGAGAAGAACACAATTCCATCTGCTGGGGTTCAAACTGATCAAAATTAATTATACATTTAATATATTTATATAAATTTCTTCTACACAAATGCAATATTCAATATCAATTAGCTAAATATAAAAAGTTGGCATATCAGAATACATAGATCTGACCACATATAAGTGTTTGCTGTTCTCTGCTATTATGACCATTATCATTTGTTATAAATTTGTTTTTTAAAGAAGGAGAGAAAGAAAACCTGAGGAAATTTAAATTTTTCTTTGAGGGAATCATTCTGTCACTCATCTTTTATTTTGTGCCAAATCAAAGCCTCAGCCTCTGGCACCAATGCCACTTAATTAACATGTCATTCAAATGCCTCCTCAGAACACTAGGCTTAGTATTTTTCCTCCTTAACACGAGGGCCAGTGCTCTCACTCAGCAAAGCCCTGCATTATCACTATATCACTGGAGATTCTCCACTTGAAACTGCAGTTGGCCAAAGTGAATGAGAGAGCACAGACATGAAATACATAGGTGTTATGCTGAGTGAACACTCAAGCTTTTCCTGACATGGCAAGATATCTTCTTGGGTCATGAAATCAATTTTTTACAAAGAAAATGAACAAAGGGAAAAAAAAAAACACCTACCAAGATCCATAGCTGAAAAGAGATAGATGCCTATGACTAGACTAGAGGGGAAAAAAACCCTGTTGTATAATGTAAATTATACTACTCATGTTCCCACCACAATCAGGCCTCAACTGAGTTCTATAGCCCATCGCTTCTGCCCTCTAAAACAAGGGTTAACTATTACTTTTAACATGAAACAGCTAAAATTTCCCATAAAGTCATTGAACAGAGGGGCGAAATTATTATCTATTCCATTAATCAAAACACACCAACATTTGTCAATGTTTCAATTATTTTTTCATACCTGCAATTTTGCTTCCATTGTTGGCTATACCAAATAAAAAACTTACATCTTAATAGCAAGAAACTGACCAACCCAAATAGTTCTTCCACTTACCTTTTTGATGTTTCATATATTATTTGATAAGAGATAAACTGCAAACTCACATCAATTATAATTGCAGATATGTTCAACTGGAAACCAGCAAGATTATAACACTGTTCAAGTATTGAACTGATGTACTATATAACATAGCAAAACTATTATAACTAACAATTCAATGCTGACTTTTAATACAAAGTATGAATTATTTCAAACTGTTAAGAAAAAGAGAGAAAATAGTGACTGGATACTTACTAAGATGAGACATTAATGCCACAGAAATTACTTTCTTTTTAAAAACTATGCTGAAACTGTTTAATTGCAATAGACACTCCAGGATGTGTCATGCTGGGATAATGCCACTTCTTGAACCACTGAAAGCACTCCATGAGCCTCCAAACTCACCCAAGGCATGGAATCATTATCATAGCATGACACACACCTGCCGTGTCTTATTGCTTAATTATAACCCACCATAGATGCAACTGCATTGAATTTTCAGTGCAAGTCTAGAATTGAATAGAATTGCATTCATTCAATCTTCATACCCACATCGGCCTATTAGGATATATTCCCATAACTGTCCTGATCACTATATAAAATGAAAGATTTGGATCCAATCTGGATGAAGAAATATTTTATTATTAATACATTGTTAAGATAAAACTGACATACTCCAGCTTATAATTTAACTATAATTATACCTATATCAAGTTAACATTTTAAACAAGAATTTACCTGTAAATATAAAACGTGTTGCTCAAGAGCACTAAAGAGCAAAGCAGGCTGGCATGCCGAGAGGCTCTGGAGCTTGTTCCAATCGACTGTAATTTTCACCACATCATCTCTGAGGTTAAGCTTCAAAAGGGCAAATCAGCAACATCACAGAAATTACATGATTAAGTTGTATATATATGGGATTGTCTCACACACAAAAAATTTCTATAGAGTAATATGCCTATTAAGCTCGAAGTTATCAAGTTTCTAATGATACATTAAAATGCTCTATCTAGTTACCATTTTAAAAGGCCAAGAAAGGTGCAATTTTCATTAAAAAGTAGAATGACATTTCATTCTAATTCTGTTCTTGGGTCTGTGTATTGGGACCATCCTGGAGGTGAAACCATCCAAGAAAGATAAAAAGATCAAGCTTTTTTTGATATTTCAATATCTAAAAACCTTTTGATGTCGCCAGGATAGGCTTGCCCTAATCAGAATCCTACTACTTCTAGGTCAGAGCATTAACCAGAGAGAGCAGGTACATTTATGAAATTTCTGATATTCACATTCTTTTTGTGAAAGATATACATAAATACATAATTGAAATATATCATTACTCTGATGTCTTCTGAATCACATTTTTATTGTTTTCAACTTTAACCAATTTAAAAATAAAAAATTTTCACATATATTATTAAAGTGTAGGGATAAATGGCATCATGTTTATCTACTTCAAATAAAAATTAAATTATTATTTAACTGTAGAAATCTAAAACTGAAAAACAATTGCCTTTCTACAATAGTGAAATAAATGGCCAGAGACTGGATGGAATGACCAGATGTTTTGCTAAATAGTATTTTCTAGTAAACTATTATATGGGTTCATTATATGACAGTTTCTTATAAGGGTTCATTATATGACAGTTTCTTATAAGTTAGCTAAGTGCAACCTATTTGAATAAAATTATATATAGAAATCTACCAAGAACCTAAATATAAAATTAATATCAAAATCAGCAAAAATTTTAGAGGGAAAGCCTCCATCCCTAGTCTTTCAGATGAATAAAAGTGAACTACCACAAACTTTTCTAGGGACATAAACTTTTTCGTGTTTATGACATACTGTAAGGATATATACTGCATAGTAGGATCAAGTTTACCACTATATTATTTTGTCAGAAATCATTTTAAAAAATTAGTCATGTTTTCTAAAAAATAAAGACAAGTGTTACATTAGTTCAAATACAGATCTTATGGGTTGTAATTATAATAAAACAAAAAGATGAATAACTGTACAAAGAATCAAAGAGATTCAAAGTTGCCCCCAAAAGGCACTATACTGAATGAATCCTATATAACAGAAATTTACCACTCTTTGATTATGAGACCAGAAACATTTAAAGTCCATATTAGACAAGTATAAAGAAAAAGGAGGTTTTGTGTAGGTTGTGCTGGCAAAGATTAGTTCATATTAATTGAGGTTTTACATAGAGATTACCACATTAATCTTGTGTTACTTAATGCCTATTAAAACTTTGTTAGACAACAATTTATATTGTGTATGGAAATAAACTACTACTATAGTTTTACAGTCCTCAGAGAGAAGTAGTCAACTATACAAATTTATGAGTACAGTTTGGGGATAAAGAAAGCAATCCTTAACCGAAGCAAAGCATAAAATCTTCTAGAGAAAAATAATTTACAGAAAATGAATAATATTTGGATCATATTCTCATTTCAATTCGGCAGAATTATGTAAGCCTTCAAGTCCAATTAAAGAAGTGCAATTTAAAAAGACCACATAATAATGTCACAAATTAACTTTAAAGCTATCCCAATACATCCAAGTAGCTATTCAACAAATTCCTTATTAGTAATATAAATTCTATAGGGTATTCTATTCTATTACCCTATAGAAAGTATAATTATAAAACACTCAAAAAAGTATTAGTCTGCCATTAATATGAACTACTTAGATATGCATTTTCAGTAAAAACTTTATTAAAATTAACATGAAAATCCAAGCTAAAAATATATAATTATTCGGTTTGGTAAAATGGGCCATCCAGAGGCAATAATAAGGTTAAAATCAGTAAATTTGAAATATTAAATAGAAAATACTTTTTAACATTCAATTTTTTATTTCCTTTTAAGAGCTAATAATACAATGATACCATACAAAATGAACTTAGGCATATTATAACATACATTTTTTTTAAAAAAAACCTTTGAAGTTGTTGGAAAAAGAACAGTGATTCCTCCAGGGGTAATTTTATAAATACAGTACTCTGGCTTCCCTTCTTGTTTTTAAGCAATACATCTCAAAATATAAAGAGTATTATCAAAATGGTTAGCATTTAATTGATGATAAAGTCTTACTTTTTACCACTTGTATATATGGTTGCTTCACTGTGTCAAGTAAATTTGCCAAATATTTACTCTAAACATTTCTGACAGGTGACATAGTAAATTTTAATCACATCTCTACTTGTACCTACAGAATACCTGAATATTAAATTTTTAAATACATTTTAAAAATTCAGTATGCCAAATATTTCACAAAACATGTTGAAATTATTTCTTTATGTAATTCAAAAAAATCTCATCACTAAAAAACACAAACAAACCCAAAACTTAAAGTTCCATGTCCACAAAAGAAAGAGTTCTCAAACTTTAAAACCATTTACAGGTTTTAGGTCTTAAGACTGAAATATTAATGTCTCCAAGTCTTTGAAATATTTTTTATAAGTCCATGGCAAAAAACTGAGTTTAAAAGTTAGTTTTTAGTACATTCTAGTAATAACTGTTCCATTACACCAAACTGAATGTTGAACTTAGAGCAATGCTCTTTGTAAATCCCGATAAACATATTAGGCCTTTTTAAAACACTGAAATAACTTTAAAAAATTAATTCTCCATCCACTCAAGGCTTTAAAAAATAACTCACAAATCAGACAAACGCTCTATTTTAATAAAGGAAGTTAACATTATCTTTGACACAAACGCCTTCTGTGCCCACTACAGGCACTAGTACCAGCCCTATAACAAACTTTTATAGCTAGAAAATATTCCGTCTACGATATGAGAAAAGATTTATTTCTTTTTTTGAGAGAAGATTTATTTTTTAAAAGCGAACAAACTTATTTTCGAGTTGTTTCCCATTTAAAATTTGCTTTGCACTTTACAACATTAAAGGAAATAGTGACTTGATTGGAATAGTGTAAGGAGCACTTTTGTTTAAACACATTATGACGTTTCTGCAAAAGCTCTTTAACCGCTCATTAAACTAGTTATTAAACAACAGGTCTGATGCAAACAGTATCCACCATGGATAACTCTTACAACTTTTTGCTAGAAGTATTTCATATTAATTATTTTCCTCCCCCTTTGAAGGGGCAATTGATTCACACAGTGGCCAAAAGGAAAAAAAGAAAGTCAATGACTCATAAGAGCAAATTATACAAAAAAGGCGGAGAGCTTTTCCAGAAATCTCAGGCCATACTAACCTAGCAATTTCTAGAATGAACAAACTGGAGGAAAGGGATCCTAATCGCCTGGAATCTCGCAAACCGTCGGACCTTTCCGCATTCATTCTCTCCACGCCGGTTCCTTTCCGCCGGGTTTTCACTAAGCTCCCTCCCTCCCTCCCTCCCTCCCTCCCTCCGGGGAAATCTAGTTCCAGGAAATCTAGTCCGCAACGGGTCCTGAGCTGGGCGTGCGGCCACCCGCACTCCGACAGCAGCGGCTGGGCTCCTCCCGGGCCTCACCGACTCGGCCGGTCCTCGGCAGGCCCCGCTCCCCCCGCCCTGCTCCGCTGGAGGAAAAAGGAGGGGCCGGTTGGTTCCCGTACCCCTACTCCCACAGGCCATCACTCACTTGTCCAGCCAGGGTATGCAGGGAGCGAAAGATTTCGAAGAGCACCTCTTGGGAGAGGTTGGGGCTGCAGCTCTGCTCCAGGCTTCTGTCACTGACGCACGGGCGACTAAGCTCGGCTGCAGCAGCCATGACACCTTCGCAGGCCACCCCCAACACCACAGAGCAGTGCTCACAACCCCACCCCCGCCCCTCTTCTGCTTTCGTCGCTCGGCGGTGACGTAAAAACACAGCGTCTGGGCAGAGCGGGACTTTGAGGTCCCAATCTCTATGTGACTGACAAGCACGTGCACCAATCACGTGCAGTGTAGCTTTCTGCCGAGGAAGGGGAGTGGGTAATTGCCCACCTGCGTGGGGCTGGGTACAGGGTTTGGGATGGTGACTGCAGGTGTGGTTCTCTCCTGCTTAGCGTTGTGAAGTCTTTCTTGACCCTTAGAGGTTGCTTGTGAGTAGTGACAATAGGAAACCTACAGTTAAATAGTAGAATTTTAGTCCCAAATTAAAAGTTGAAATGTCGTGGTCTGGAGAAAGATCGCTGCTCAGGGATGCAGGTGCCCACACGTTTTTCTAAACGTTGGAAAGCAGAAATGTCCTAATTGAATAGAACGTTTTCGTCTCTACGAGGTTATTGGAAACTTACACAAATTAACGTTACTAATTTTTCGTGCGAGGGAATGGAGGATATAAACAATAAAATGCTCTGTTATACCCTATTTACTGTCAAGGGACTGGCATTTTAAATCTTCGAAATAATTATACCAAGTTTTAAACATGCATCAGTTGCTATACTGAGTGATACAGTAGGGACGTTCACCGTAAAACCGTTTCAAAAAAGTGAAACCTTGTCATTATAATTCGAACAGGCATTTAACCCAAATATTGCATTGCAGCACAGTCTTTGAAATTAGAAGAAAGACATAAATCTGAATTGAAATGTGACAATGCTATTTATCAGATAGCTTTATTAAAATATACTTGAAGGATTTTTAATCTCATAGCAAAGCCTAACATTTCAAGTTTTGTTATCCAGTTGAAAAAACAAGTTTTAAAGAAATTTTAGTGTTAACCTCTACTTAAAAATACTTTACAATAACAGTTTAGAGATAAGTAAGGAGAGATTTAAAATTCTTAATTCTAATAGTCTAACGAATTACAGTAGGGGAAGCAAAGGTGGAAACTTGCACAATGTGTATTCTTCAGTTTTAAAGTAGGCTGAATGAAAGGGGAGGAATCAGGCATCAAGGAACTGGGATAAGGGCAGTAGGGATAAAAGAATTCCTTTGACCTATCCCTAGGGAGCCTCTTAATTAGGCTTTCGTTTCTAAAGATTGCCAGGCTTGACAGGATCTTGAGAAATCTTGTCTATTCCCTTGTTCGCAGCAAGCTATACAATTTACAATCCAGCCTATGTCTAGAGACATCCAGAAAAAGATTTCACAATATCTAATCCCATATTGAGCAACCTTTTCATTCAAGCCACTCATTCCCATATCTAACCTAAAGGCATGATTCTTTGGAATGTTAGCATATTTTCTTTGCCTCTGGCTCTCTTGTTAAGAGGAGAATAATTGTAATGGGGTAACTAGAAGTTTTTGTGGTATAGCAAATTAGCAACCAGTTTTTACATCATTAGTTTTCATCTAGGTATGAAGGTGTTTTTTTTTGTTTTGTTTTGTTTTTTCAAATATTCAAGACACTGGTATGAAACACATTTGGAACATGTTTTGCATATTACAAATATATAATCTTTAATAAATAAGGTGCTGCTTATTCCTTATTTGCCATCACCGAATTTGAAATTTCAAGTTTTATGTGTTTCCTTAAACTCTTAATATAGAATTAATTGATAGCCATTTGATTTATATTCAGGTTTCCCCCAATATCCAAAAGTAGAGCTTTCTTATTAAATCTTTCATAGCTGTAATCATGTAAAGTCAGAACGCAATTACCATTAATTTATATGAAAATATTTTTTAGCATTCCCAGACCCCCCAAAAAAATCTATCAAATCATACCACACATGCTTAATTACATCCAATTTTGCACTAAGCATAACACCCTTACTAGCTCTCTTAGGCCTTCTGATGCCTTAGGACACATCTTACTAACAGATGCACAAAGTAATTCTGTGCTTCCACTTAATATCTTAGCATTAATAATACTTAGCATAGATAATACTTGGAATTTAACTCCTTTATGCAATATTTCTTCTTTCCAGGGACTACTCTTATTCCTTCCCGATGCCTATGACCTTCATTTTGGGGAAAAATTAAAATTTTTAAAACAAGAGTTTGTAGACTAAAAGATGTGGATTTCCTTGGGCTAACTTTATTATTATTATTATTTTTTTATCCTCACACAAGGACATTTTTCCATTCTTTGCTCAGATAGAGTGGAAAGGAGAGAGAGAGAAACATCTACGTGAAAGGGACACATCGAGTGGCTGCCACCCGCATGACCCAACCGGGGCTGGGGACAAACTGCAACTGAGGTACGTGCCCTTGCGGGAACCAAACCCGGGTCTCTTTGGACTGCAGGCCGACGCTCTAACCATTGAGCCAAACCGGCCAGTGTTCCTTGGGCTAACTTTAAATAGAAATATATAGATAATAATATACAACAAAAATATGATGAAAGCTATGACATTTAGAAAGGAAATAATTTGCCTTTTGTAAAAAACTAATTACAGTTTATAAAGTGGGTTGCTGAAAAATCTGCTGCTTGGCAGAAATGATTCAAAGTGTTTGTTGGTCTTGGCATTAGCAAGAGTTAGAAATGCTGTCCTGCAAGTTCATGCTATTGAGAGGATAGAAACAGCAGTTGAAATTTAGGCTATATACCTTATCAACAAAAGTGTCCTTTATGAAGAGCTTTAAAAGTACAACTCTATTGCCTTAGCCAGTGTGGCTCGGTAGTTTGGAACATCTTCCAGTACACCAAAGGTTGTAGATTTGATTACAGGTCAGGGCACATACCTAGGTTGCGGGTTGGACTCCCCGGTCCCGGCACATGCAGGAGGCAACCAATCAATGTTTCTCTCTCACATTGATGTTTCTCTCTCTTTTTCTCCCTCTCCCTTCCTCTCTCTCTAAAATTAATAAAAACATGTCCTCGGGTGAGAATTTAAGAAAAAAAGGTACCTTTTTTTTTTTAAGAAAAAAAAGGTATTAAATAATCCAGTGTCCAGCAAAATGCTTGTGATATTACACATACTCAAAAGATATTTGTTCAGTGTATGGTAGTACCATTTTTTCCTAATATGGAAAACAAAAAATAAATGTTATTTGCCTTCTCTGGCTCCCTATGGCCTGTTGGATAAGTCTAAGTTCCTCAGAATGGCACCTAAAGCTCTTCTCAAAATCTAGCCTTTGCCTAAATTTCCAGCCTCATTTTCTACCACAAACCATCTGGTGCTTAGTGCTCCTGAAACTGTTTTTATTTCAAAGCTTTACTACTTTTTTGCCTCCGAGTTTTAAAATGTATACCCCTGCCTTTGTCTGCTTGGGAAAAGTCCTATTCCTCCTTCAAACTCTAGCTCAGAAGTTTCTGGGAAGTCTTTCTTCATGTTTCTTCTCGTGAAGATTTTATCTTCTCTGCTAAACTACTCTTACAACTCATATACATTTTCATTATTTTACTTATCACATGGATACTGAAATTTGTTTGATTATGAATCTGTCTCCCCATTAAACTGTGGGCTTTTATATGTATCACATTTGTGTACCTAAGGCTTAGTACAGTTTCTGGCAGAGTAATTGCTCAGTATGTACTTGCTGAGCTGAACTTATTTGCCTATCTAAGGTGAATAGATTTGTAAAATGGAAAAAAAAATCATGTTTCTACTCTTGAGGGGAAACACATACTAAGAATGCTGTAAACAATTTATCCAAATAATGAAGCATGTCTGCTTATCCTCTTCTGGAATACCAAATTCAAAGTGTTCACATTTTTCTTAATGAATAAATATCAGTCACCTCCACAACCATTATCATGAATGATATACATACAAATTAATTATACTTACTATATGCCAGACAGTCTGATCAGCATTGGAGGTACAAAGATGAATTGGACAAGGAGTCTCAAAGAGTATCAATTCTAATGGATTAGGCATATATGTAAATAAACAACTATGATATAATATGACATATTGGAGGGATGTTTAAAGCAGTATAACCAATTATTTCCTTTGGGTTCAGTGTCAGGGAAAGCTCTAAACACTTGTAAAACAAGGATTGAGGCTCAAATGATGAGTCAAAATTCTTATGGGAGGTAAAACATGAGCAGTAACGTGAACATGATTGATGTGTTTAGGGAGGATTACATTGAATAGAGAAGTGTGGCTAAGCCAGCATTTTCCAAAGTTTGTTCTGCTGAATACTAGTCCTATAAGAAGCTTCTTTCAACAAAAATGTCCACGGTTAAATAGGCTGGAGTAATATTGACTAATTGTGTTGCCATTGTCATGCAATGGATCACAACATTCCACTTTCTGTTAGCTTTGCTTGGTGGTTCTGTCATCCACTATGGAGAAAGCCAGTAAGACAGAAGCCACAGTGCCTTTTAGGGCCTGGTGTCTCATTGTCATTTCCATCTGATTCTATTTGTTAGTAGCAAGTTAGTGGCTCACATTCAAGAGGAGGAATATTAGGCTCCACATGTCCTTTTCAAATATGAAAGAGAAATAAAGATCTTTTAAAGTAAAAAAAATGAAGATAATTTATTCAGCAGACCTGCATTATAAGAAATGTGAAAGGAAGTTTTTTCAGACAAAAGGACTATGATACATGAAAGAAATTTGTATCTATACAATGAAATTAAGGTCTTAAAAAATTATAGCCCATAGACCCAGACAATAGTGTTGTGAGGGTCAAAGGTGGGGGTGGGGGGGAGACTGGGTCGAGGTGGGCAAGGGATGGGGAAATGGAGGACATCTGTAATAATGTCAACAATATAAAATTTAAATGAAAAGATCTTAAAAATTGTTAAAATTAAGTGATATACGAAAGGATTTTTTCTTTTTTAAAATTTTTTCTTAGGCTATTAACTATCTAAAGCCAAAATAGTGGCAAATTATTGTGGATTTGTTTATTTATTTATTTATTTATTCATTTACTTATTTTTTATCCTCACCCGAGGACATTTTTTTCATTTTTTGTTCAGATAGAGAGGGAGGGAAGGAGGGAGGGAGGGAAGGAGGAAGGGAGGGA